AAAGGTACAATTCCCAATGAGAAATGTAATTGTGTTGTTTACCTACAATGTACCAATAAAAGAATTTAATACAAAAAAAAAAAAAATAATCCCATTCCAGATCTGCCTGTAGGCCACTAGGATGTAAGAGCAAAGCACAGTGACAAGGAACACAAATGGTTTCTCAAGCATGTAAAGTAATGTATAATGTTGTATTACTTTTACCTGGAACACACTGGATCAAGTTGGCCACCATGGCACTAAAATGTGCCCGGATATCTTTAAGGATTTCAACTTCTTTGTCATTTTCAGCTTCTAGGAGCATTCGGGTCAAGTCCACATATTCTAAGAACAAAGCTCCAAGGGCTAAAGTATCTCTTTCTAAGGCTCCATTTGTGCTGAAATGAAGGAAAATTAAACTTTTAGGCAATCTGTCTTTCCATCAGTGTAGTACATGTTTCATGAAATATAAAATTCACTGTCAAGGGCTGGGGATTTAGCTCAGTGGTTTCGCCGCCTGCTGCGCAAGCGCAAGAACCCGAGTTTGATCCCCGGTACCAAAAAAAAAAATAATAAAAAAAAATTCACTGTCAGAATTCATACAGCAGGTTTGTTACTAACTTAAATGCATTTTAAATAGCATATAAAAAAATCTAAGCCTTTTTCTTTAAAAAAAATATTTTTAAGTTAATATATTTAAAAGGAGAGAGAGATGGATAAAAAGACACAAAGACCAGTTGGGTGCGGAGATCAACTCCGCAGAATTTTGATCCTACCTGTCACTTATGACACCAGCATCAGCCAGAAGTTCAAAAATTCGAAGCAGTTGTAGCCTTAACAAGTCTCGCCTTTCTCTGCGTTTCTTGTTCTGTGTAGAAAGAGATAATACCACTTACGGTCATAAGCAAAACAATATGAATTTTGCTTTAGGAAATTATATTAAAGAAGGCCATAATCTGGTGTTTTCAGTTTTCTAAGTGGAGAAGACACATATTTGCCCTTCTTCCCAATCCTTAGAGACAATGCTTGCCATTACACACTGCGAGGGAACATATCACAAGTGGGTTAATAAATATGTATGAGGAGGAAATGTTGAGAGCTAACAAGCTCCATTTCCCAGATGTTTCCAGTGTCTGCCGAAAGGCTGAGCATCTGAAGTGAGTGGAAAGGGGCAGGAGACAAGTTGGGTATGGAAGGACTGTTTCTTCTTACGCTGCTTTTTTTTGGCTATTTCTGTTATCATATGTGCTACTACGTGAGATGCTTATTTTCCAGTCCCCCTCTTTTTTTTCTGGTAACTCTTATACATTAGAAATGAATTTTGAAGTCAGTTCACTTCACAAAAGATAATGTGTGGTGCCACATCAGACAAGCATTCTTCTTCTTCTTCTTCTTTTTTTTTTGGTACCGGGGATCAAACTCAGGTCCTTGTGCTTTTGAGGCAGGCAGCGGAACCACTGAGCTAAATCCCGGGCCCACAAGGATTATTCTTGGTTATTGATTTCTTATACAAAAACAAAACTAAAAATCAAAATTAAATTTTAACTCAAATCTTTTGCAGAAGAATGTAATAAAATTTAACATGCACATGACTGCTTCGGTGTTTTTTGTTTTTTTTTTCTGTTTTTTTGAGACAGGGTCTCACTGTAGTTCAGACTGGCCTTGAACTGACTATGTAACCTAGGCAGGTCTCAAACTCACCACAGTGATCCCCCTGCCTCAGCCTCCTGAGTACTGGGATTAGAGCATGACCACGCCCAGCAGTTCAGTTGTTTTGCACTGATATTTAGAATATAAAATTCTTTAAAATACAAACCATATTTAATAAATACTTGTATACTGAAAGTAATAAAAATTACAAAAGTTAAAATATTAAGATTCATTGTTAAAGTCAAGTTAGGGTGTTTGTGTTCTTTAGCACAAACTAGTGGATTTGATTTAAATTCATCCAGTGTCCAAATAAGCCAAACCTTAATTATTTGAATTTAAAGTCTTACCTCTGGTCTTCTTTCTAGTGCCTCTTTCATTAATGGATGAAGTTCTTCCACCAATTCTCTGTGGAGGAAAAGGTCACATTTGAATTTCATTGATATTGATATCAAACTTGTCACCAAGTACATCCATTCCATCCTAAATTGCTTTTTTCACCTCGCTTTTGCTATAAAAATCTCTTTTGTCTGCTCCATATACCAATCATGTGATGAACTGAAGTAAAGTATTAGTCTATAATTTGAATTATTGATCTTACTCCCAGGTCTATGCATACAATTTTGGCTCGGTACATACTTGTTAACTTAATTTTGATCTACTGTTCTACAGATCTTTGTTGCTAAAAGATTTTATATGAACAATTAAACAATATTTCTGAGTACTTACTAAATTGAAAGCATATTACTACCAGCTATGAAAACAAAATTGAATCTCTGAATACAGAGGAAGAGGTAGGTGCAATTACTATGATATTACCTTTGAAATCTGTGCTTGGGAGATTGATTTATAGTTGAGTTTAAAAATAAGTCTACGGATTTCCAAACTAAATTTATTTGAGTTATATGATAAATAAAAATGTTGGCAAGTACTATAATAGGTTCTCATCAAAACCATTTTTCTCATGTAGTAAAGCTGTTTTGATCACATTAGTATATATCTTAAATGTTACATGTTCCACTTTATCCATCCCCAGCATCTGTACTTCTCAGGTTTATACTTGCTAACCTGATTAGTTGTGCTCTCTAGAAAGTAACTTCTGATTGCTTTGTCAAAACAGATAAAACTGTGATATGTAGCTTGTTGCCAGACTAGGATCTAGGTATTTTGTCTATAATACATATCATGCTTGAAAATTGTGTACTGTCTGGTAGGCTATTTTGTGCTATTAAACATCACCCTTCAAGAAAATCCAAGGAAAGGAAAATATCAACTACCTGCAATTCTTTGCTAAAAGACAGAGGATCTGGATTCTAGTCCTGATTTCTAAAATACAGATGTTAAATTTTCATTAAAAAAAGGACTACTGTTAATGGCCTCCTCTACCTAACAGCTATTTGGCAAATATCTACTATGTGCATATTCATATTTAATATATCCTCTCAAGATTTCTGAAATGTATTCTATTATATCAAATTTTTAAATTAGAGATATATTTTATTTTTATTTGTTGTACTTATTTTACAGATGAGAAAACTGAGGCCAGAGACATTTGGCTCATGTGGCTGGTCAGGTGAATATTGCCTACCTCTAGGAATAATCACAGGGCAAAATATACAAAAGGGCCCTAGAGAGAAGAATGTTAGGTAATTTTGAGAATTTTTATTTTCTTGTCATATGTCTATATGATGCTTAGTTTTAACTAATAAATAGTAAAATGCTGTTGTAATAGTTCTCAAGTAATAATATACAATTCTTATTACTTTTACTATTACTTTTTTAAGGATAAAAATTTGACTATTGTAAATCATAAAATGAATTGTTTTCACTTGTTTCTAAAATATGTCATTAATATTTATTTTTCAAACAGTGTGTCTCATAGATGTTTGGAGTGCTTCCCTTTTTATCTGCATGGAAAACTGAGGAGAGGGAAGGAGAGGAAGGGAAAATATAAAGAATTAAGGTGTGTTATGTATATGTACAAACTCCTTACAATGAATGCAATCTTTATGTAGTGCAAACATTTACTAATAAAAATAAAGTTTAAAAAAAGAAAACATAAATAGAGCCGGGGATTTAGCTCAGTGATTTCGCCACCTGCTGCGCAAGCACAAGGACCCGAGTTCGATCACCGGTACCAAAAAACCCCAAAAAACCCAAAAAAACCCAGAACTATAAATTTTATTTTTTGTCCATAAGGGTTTTTGTGGCTTAGTTAAAGCCATCAGAAGCAGCCTAAATGAACACTGTATGATGCCTTTTTCAAAAGGTTCTGGCATTGCCTCAGATGGAACTGTTATTTGACAGCAGATGCAAAATAAAGGACACCAGGAAGTCCAGTCTGCTGTTTCTATCAAGGCAGTGCCTTCTAAAAAGACCAACCAGCTAAGCTGAACACACCCAGAAGGGTTCTGAGTGTCACCTTTAAGAGCCTGTCACGTGAATGGCTGAGAAACAGACACTGTTATTATTTTAATGTTACATCCTTCGAACAGCTTGGCTAACTGGGGATTGACAGAAATTATTTTCATTTATAGTTATCTGAAACAAAACATGCAAGTGAAATAAAATCTGAGAGGCAAAACCAAAGTTGAATTCTAACAAAAAGTGAAATGTGAGGCAGTTTCAAGGATTTCTTATTATATGCAAGCAACCAAAGGGGACATACAGGAAATTGAGCCTACCTAGAACTCCAGGCGCATGCCAATACACGCTAAATTCAGGAAAAGCAACTACAATAGCAGCAGCATGTATGAATGTAGAAGAACTCAGTAAGACTACTGTACCTGAAAACAAGAGAATTTGTTCTTCCAAATCCTAAAACTAAGGACTCTGTGATCTCAATGCTCTCTAGTCTCATCAAAGGCACCAACTGCTTTAACAGAACTCCCACCGATGGGGTGCCTATGGCCTGAAACAAGTGGATTAAAAGTGAAAAAGAAGTAACATGGTAACTGATGTTTCCTTTAATCACATGATGATTCCATTATAACAGTTTCAAAGTAATGAGCCACATCCCAAGGCACTGCCATCATTTCAGGAAAAAAAAAAAGCACAAATTTAATGCAGAACAATGAAGGTATTTCTCTCCTGGGACAGAAATTAAAAAGAAAAAAAATATACAGTCTTCTAGTCTTCTTTTTTAACCATTTAAGTCAATAAAACTGTCTTTGACAAAATAATTTAATGAAGACATGGATTTAAGGTGAAGACTTGGTGAACAGTGAGAGAAATGTGGTACGTACGACATGGACCCAACCTCAGGGCACTAACAAATACAAATCACTCTATGACCTTAAGTAAGTTTCTAAACTTCTCTTTATCTTTAATTCCCTACTTGCCGGAAAGGAGTAATAAATTATTCACATAATACTCAATGGAACTTAGAAATGTGTAGGATGAAAATCTGATCCCATAATACTCCAGATGGCAGGCACAGTGCAATTTGCACTGGGAACTCTAGACAAACAAGCTAAAAAAAAACCTTACAGAATAATTCTTCTGAAGCATGTCATGTCACCTTGTTATCGTAGCTCACTGTACCATCAGGTGTGGTCGCCATTATTTCAGGAGTGGAAGCTCTTAAGTGTCCTGGGCTCATAATACTGGGTTTTGCAACTCCAAAACAGAGAATAAGGTAATTTCTCCACAAAGTAACATAGTTGTCTCCGCTGCCTGCTGTGCTGGTTTTCTTGGCATTAATTGGGCTGCTAGAAAAATGGAGCCAAAGATAAGAGTGAAACTAATTTTTCAATTTTAAATATCACTTTTTAAAGAAAGATCATAGGAAGTGCTAACTAGTGTTAGACAGCTTCTGTCAATGATGTTGTTCAGGAAATATCTCCAAAGGATGAGAAGTTGACTAGAAAAACTTTAGGTCCCTTTCACCTGAGATCCTATATCTAGATAGTCACATTGATTATTATGGAAAAAATCTTTCTCTAAAGTTAAGACAAAACTTTCTATTTTTACTCAATGTTAAGAATTCTGTAGCACAGAAAATTAAGAAATTAGAAGCGATTACTATATTTTAATCTCTTGTGTAAAATGACAATTTAAGAAGGCAAATGGTAAAACAAGGAAAACAGCTGGATCCCTTACTTGGGGTCAACCAACGGCATCACAGACTGGAGCCGAGTGAATGCATAAGGCCAAGCATAGCTGAGGGCTGTGGGGCAGTGCTTGGGTAGGTTCTCCTGCCGAAGGAAGCTGAAGAGGCAGAGGACCCAGGGGTCTTTGACAGACTGTGCAAATATCCAGACGTGGGAAGGGCTCTTCACGTCATAATGGCTATTGACCAGGACAGCATTCCATTCCACCAGCCACTGCAGATCCACATTGTGGGTCAGTGATAATGTTGCCTGCAGGCACAGAGGTAGATAGGGAATCAAAGCTGAATTGAAATGATCCATCCTCACCACAGCTCTGCTTGAGTGCTGCTGCTTGCATAGTACCTTTCCTGATCACCTCTGCAATGGGCCAGCTTTGGATCTGAAACACCCATCCTACATGCACCACATAACATGCAGGTGAGGAGTCATGTGTTTCCTGTGCTAGCCTTGTTGATAAACTTCTGAGTGGAAAGGTCAGTTATCAGGGTCATAGTTTCAAAGTCCAAATGGGTAGTTTGACAGTTTTCATGTTCCATGGTATTGCACATCAATACACAGAAGCTGCTCACTACATATTTGTGGAACGATGTACGATGTATGATATTAGTTGATTTAAACCATTTTAAATTTGGATTTACCACTTTAAAATCCTAAAAAGTTACTCATCTCTGAGATGCATATGTTTTTATCCTTGCATTTAATATAAAGCTTTTTGGTTGTGACTTATGTTTATTTAGGTTGAAATACCTTTATTTTGACTTAGAGAGATGGTTCAACAAAAGTTCCTTTTGTGAAGGCTATTGTGTGGGTGATTTTTCAGATAATTACTTATTCTTGCCCTATGATAATCAAGTCAAAACAATACATTTTAAAACTTCCATGAAACATATGTATAGATGGATAAGTTCTTATAATTTATTCTCTTTTAAGTGCAGATATCAGGGTTTAGAGGTTACTGGTTTTCAAGTAACCTAGCCATTGTGCCAGAGAGAAGATTGCCTTTTAGCTTATTGGGCATCTAAAGTAATCTATTTTTCCATTTGGTCTATGTGTTCTCCTGGGTAAATGATAATGTAGAGGCTTCAAAGGTTAACAGGCCAAAAGGGGCAGAGCTGGAACTTCAGAACCTGAGAGACGAAATTTCAACACAGTCTCTGTCCAAATCCTGTGACTTGGGAAAAAATGCACCGAACATCCCAAAGTCCCTTCCTGCTGCACTTGTGACTTGGGAATTACAGTGCTGATCTCACCTAATCTTTCAGTGAATTCCATGAGATAATGGATATAGAAATACCGGCACAAAGTTGGCACTGCTTCCCCGTTCCTCTGCTCCTCTATCTGTCCATCTTGTTAAAGGCAATATTGCTAACCTGGCTATCTCTGGCTAAAGATTTCGATTCTGGTGAACAGAACAAAATCACATTAATAAAACATATGCATATAAAACAAAAAAAAATGGACTACTCTATTTCATATTAAAACAATTTAAACTTCCAAAGGAAGTAGAACTACTTCACTATCACTGTTAAGGTCCGTCGTGCCTGGTTAATAGTTTTAATGATTTTTTAATTATTATGCCTATTTAGAAGAACAAAGCTACTAAAAATAAGGATCTGTATTCAATCTCAGCTAGAAAAGGCCACAAAACTCTTCAGGTTTTGTATTCATGTCTAAGTATTCAGCAGGTATATGTATCGGCATCAGCTGTGTGGATTCTGCTAGTTGTCCCAGATTGTCCTGTTTCTCTTCAGGTATTTAGCTGCAATGAATCCAGGTTCTCTTACTGTACTTTTAACATAAAAACTTAGATAACAAAAATCAGTTTCAATTTCTATTTAACTTGCACAGGAAATTGAAAGCTAAAAGGAATAATGTATTTGTGTAGCAGATAAAGCTCTACAAGATTCAAAGTCCAAATGGACAAGTCTAGGCTCTATCTTTTTCCTTCTGTGTAATGGTGGGCCTTTCTCCCCTTAATGTTTCTTTTTTGTTTTTATTTTTCCTGGAGCTGGGGATTGAACCCAAGGCCTCATATGTAACCTACCACTGACTTACAAACCTAGCCCTCCTCTCCTCAATGTTTTGGAGTTTTAATAATTGTGAGGGTCAAATGAGATAATAAATGTGAATGTATCCTGTAGACTATAAACCTCCACACGAATAGAAGTTATCATATTAAGAATTTAATACAAAATGAAGAGTTAAGCACAATAGTGAGACATACTAAGTATTAAATACAAAGATTAAAGACAAATTAATTTTCTTTAAGAATCTGGAGCACTTTTTTAGTGATACTAGGGATTGAATCCAGGGCTTTCACATACACACACATCCCCAGCCCTATTATTGTTTAGACAGGTTCTTGCTAAGTCACTAAGTTACCTAGGTTGGGCTTGAACTTGGGATCCTCCTGCTTCCACCTCTCAGAATGCTGGGGTTATAGACATGCACCACAGTGTCTGACCTTAGCACTACTGGAAATAGTAGATTTAAATTTTGTATTCCTAAGGCTTACATTTTGGTTGAAATGTATGTGAATGTCTGTTAAACTATCATGTGAAAAGCTAGTCTTGTTTTCCTAAATATCTTTGTATCAGTTTATTAATCTGACATGAAGCCCCAAATTTGTCTATATAATTTCTGACTCTCCTTTTCAGTTAGGTCCAGAGCTTATATTTAAGAAGCATTAGCAAGCAGAATCAAATGTGTACTCACCGAATCCGAAACGGCTACATGAATAAAACTTTCAAGAATGGAAGAACTGAGCTGATCCATGACATCAATCATTGGCCTGTCATCGTCCTGTGCAAAGGGGAGGTGATTACTTTCAGGGGAAGAGGATCGCTTCCCAAACCCACCCTCCCTTGGATACATCAAGCCTAACAGCTTGTGAGGTAGTGATAAGTGGTTTCTCATAGATAAGTGAGTGCCAAGAAGGTGAAAGGCACTGAACAAAACTCCCTGTGGCTGTGGGCTCAGTTCTTCAACTTTCAGTGGGAGATAATTAGGGTTCCAACTTTTTATTTGTTTGAAGAGACAAATCCCTGAATTTCAAAGACTTGTACACATACATGATAACCTAAATACTAGTACTACGGATTAGTCACTGAAATATTCATCTTGTCAATGTAAAAGAACGAAAACTGTAGAAGAGCATGCTTTGTCAGACCATTAAAATGGTAATATTTTAACTCATTGGCCTGTTAAAATAACTGATTAATGCTGATTGCTTGAATTTCAATCCTAAAGGAATTATACGAGAGACTGGCCACATACATTCTTTGTGGTATGTGGGTACTATACAGCTACTTGATAAAAAGGAGCAAATTAAAAAGGGAGGGAGAATATACTATTGAAAGTTCTACGTAAGTAACAAATATATCCATGTATACCCACATGTATATGGATGTGCTCACATTTGTCATTGCTTATTACAGAAGAACTTGGAAATATGGAACAATTTTTAGAAGCCTTATAGGAAAGCCCTGAAATGTATGTGTGCATGAGTATTGCTTAACAAATCTTGTGGCTGGTCAAAGAAAGCAACATATGAGAATATCAGTGATACAGTCAGGTTCAGTGGTGGTGTACCTATGGCCGCATGGCACAGCCAGCTGTTTGTTATCACTGAAAGCTCTAAAAGGTTTGCCATCATTGGTCTGGTTGAATGGAAAGTAAGAACATGGGAATTTAGAGACATATATACCTGGTTATGTAAGACCCTACTGGTTGATTTGGGCTAAGGCACTTAAGCATTAAAAACCTCAGACTCAGTACTTACACTGGGATAAGAACAAAGCTATTTCTTATCGTGAGGGTTAAATGGATAATATTGTATAATATGGATATGGAATAGTGCCTGCCATGTGCATAGTAAATGTTATGGTTGTTATTACCATAATTAGAAACTTAATGGTAGTTCACTTGAGTACAACATGTCTTAGAGATCTATTTACTAGATAGCAGAAATATGGCCCTGAAATAGCCCACAAAGGTTATCTGAAGAAATGTGAACAGAAAGGACTGTGATGAGCTTGAAATTATTTTGAAAAAGCAGTGACCACACTGAGGATCATAAGACCAAGATTAGTAATTGAAAACAAGAAAATAGAAGGTGGCATTTTAAAAAGAAGTAGGATAACACAAAAAGCTAGTCCTTTCATCATGCTACACGTAGAGCTTGGTCAGATGCGACAACATCTGTACAGCACTTGACCAAGTGCAGGAAGTTAGCTGGAGGTGATGATGTTTAATGGGTGGTTTCCTTCTCCTATCTCAAGAGGACATAATTTCTTGTGGTGTCATCTCTGTACCATCATCAATATTAAACAACTTCCAGTTAGCTGGACTACTTGTTTTGGTACCTTGATTGTTTTAAATGAGATATATTATATTTTGAAGTTAATTCTCTAATATAAATATAGTATCTTCTTCATTAGAAGTACGTCGAAATGACCCATAACCTAAATTAATCTTAAAACTCTTTATTTATTGGTAAAGAAACATTCCTTAGTGAAGCAGGAACATTCTTTTTTCAATTGCTCTCAGAGTATACTGCTTACCTCTAGTAGATCAAGAATGCTATTACATAATTAAAACCTAATAATGCATCAAAAATTGTGTTGACACATTTGACATAAAACCACATGAAATTGCAATATATTATAAATGGTTTTTGACTGCATTTCAAAAAGAAATGAATTAGAAAAGTGATCCATACCTCGGGCTGACCCAGGGCAACAAACAGAGCTCGAATTTCCTTGAGTATTAACACAGACAGTTTGCGTGTGGCCACTTGGAAGCTGCAGAGTAAAACCAATGCAAATCCTTCAACAGCATGGAGGACACTGCAGTGAGGGCCACGTTCTGACTGAGCTCTGTGGCTGGAACCATTTGGAATTAGCTGTTATGCAATAAGAACATTCTATATTCAGCAAAATAATAATGCCCATCTGATTTTTATGATATTAAAATATGTTACAATGGATTAGAATCAGACATGTTTATAGATTTGTGATTATTTATGAAATATCCTAGATCCCTTCTTACTTTACAGATCAGTTGTTGCTTTGGAACTATCAACCATTCGTTATCACTGATGAGAACTTTTCAAAGGCTATTAGTGCTAATAAAAACAAAACTGCTTCCTTCCATACTGTTTGGGGTTAGACTATACACAAATCAAAGTGACCTAACTTGGTTTCACTTAAATTCTCTATAGACTTAGAGATTAAATCACTTTTTCAAACATTTTACTTTCTACTTGGACTTCTTTGTTTGCATGTTAGAGTCTAATCTAGGTTTTACATGTTTACATGATGGGTTGGTTCTGAAAGCTCCCAAGTTGAACCAAGTGAACCTAAAGCTAAAGCAAAAGCAAACCAGGTGATAGGGCAGATTCCACCTTAATTTTCATTTTCCAAACATATGTACCCCCTGGTTTTCTACCTATTGTCTTTTGGCACATGTAGCACATGAGGAAGGAGGGACTTGAAGATCATCTCTGAGGTCACCCCATCTGGGGTCCTCACTGTTCCTTGGATGCTGCTGTCTCCCTGAGCCTCCATAGTCCTCTGACCCTCAGAGACACTCCTCTTTGGCCAGACCTGTGTCCATCTGTTCACTGCCAATGCCAGCTCATTACCAGGCAATGACAACCCTGGTTTTTCCACAACACTCTTCCTCAGTGCACTCTCTAAAATGTTATCATTCACTTTTACCATGCAGGACTGACATATGAAAGGATCAAGAAACCGCAGACTACATTTTTTTTCTTGGTGGGTAGTAGGCAATTAATTATGTTGCTATTTAGAAAAAAAAGTCTGCTGGATGGCTAACTTTTGCATATCCATAGCTATATCCATATCCATATCTAGCTCTAACTTTCTGTTCTATAGCCATTTGTTTTCACAAATAGATTTGTGATTGTAATTCTCTGAAAAGAAAATCCTACTTCCTAAATGAACTTCTCTGTGGTGACAAGTCTGACCTGAACTTCTTGGTCACAGTGTATGTTGGTAGAAGGACTAAGGGTCAGTGCTAAAGGAAGTTCATCCGTGGCTGGAAGAACTCCAAAGATTCCCTGGGCTACCACTCAATTCATGTATATAGTGCATAAAAGAACAGAAACTGGTGTAGAGACTAGGAAAATCACCTCTGAATTTCTAATTTTGTTGCCTTGCTCATAGACTCTGCCTTGAGTTTGTATAAGCAGCTTCCACTGTGTGAGCAGCTGCAGCAGCAACTTCAGGGATGAATCGAGGAGTGTGTGATGCATGTCATTTACTTCCCGCAGCAGGAAGTTGGTAAATCCGAATAGAACATCTTCTCTCCAGTCTGAGAAATCAACGAGCAAACCCTGAAGAGAATTCTGTGCAATGTGTCGCAATTCATCATCCATGTGAATAGAGAGCCTGGAGGTGAATCAAAGACAACAAAATCACTGACTTTATTCACTTTTCTTCCAGAAGGAGGTCTCTATTTCTACTTGTATCTGAAAAATATATCTTTTTCTCTTCTTTTTTTTTGTGGTACCAGGAATTGAACTCAGAACCTTGGACTTGCTAGGCAAGCACAGCACCACTGAGCCACATCCCCGGCCCTTTTTTATTTATTTTTTCTTAGTAAGTGACATAAGTGAATACAAAAAAACAAAATTTTAATTTTAGGCTTAGTGAAGAATTGCAAAGAAAATACAGTTTTTATACAGCTTTCATTAGCCAACCTTAATTTTATATCTTATATAACCAGAGTACATTTATCAAAACTAACAAACTAAGATTGGCACAATGCTACTAACTAAACTACAAGCTTTATTCAGATTCCAGTTTTCTACTATTGTTCTTTTTCTTTTTCAGAAAGCAATGCAAGATGCCACATTGCATTTAGCTCTACAGTATGATTGTTTTTCTATACATTACTGACTACAGAACAAATTAGTTTCAAACTATTTTTGAGGTTGAAAAACCTGAGTACTGGAAAAGTAAAATGACACACTCAGATGTTCAGTAAAGTGAAGAATTATGCCAATGGCCCTTAATCAGCTTGTTCCTCAGGGGCTACTGGGCAGTATCTGAAGACATTTGTCATTGTACAGTTTGGAGTGTGCTACCTCTCTACAGATGTTCAGATGTCACTGAACATTCTACAGTTCACAAGATAGCTCTTGATGACAAAGAATTATCTGTCCAGAGAGAAGATGAGCAGGTCCCAGGACCCGGAAGGAAGCTCCACTGATGCCATCCCAAGCTCCTAGGGCAGAGAAGGTGAGCCGCGCGGGTGCCAGAAGCACGACCCCCCCCCC